GCATACAAATGAGAGACACATCAAATGAAACACCCTCAACCTCTTTTGCATTAACATTAACATTGATAGAAGTTGTCTTCAAACCCCTACTAAAGAAGATTATGGCATAATCCTTTTTAAACCATTCGGTATTAGGACCTTCAAACATTCTTTAGGAAGAACTTCATACCATCGTAATATGTTACTGTCAATTTGAAAGGTTCAATTAACCCAAGGACTTTTATGTTTGGGACAAAGAAAAATGGAAACAAAAGAAATGACGTTAGTGAAATAAAAATATAAAAAGGAGAAAACACAAAGAGAGTGTGGACTAGTTCGATCAAATCGATCTGCTCAGGAGGAGATAACAACTCTCTAGTTCACTATACTTAAAAATTGTTACAAGTGATTATAAGATGAGTTACAAGAAAATTTCCATTAAAATTTCCCAATAACAAACTCTATTTTATAGCCAAGTGTTTCCTAATCTCTCCAATTTTCAATTTATGAATCACACAAATCCAGTTGTTTATCGTGTTTCTCAAACCCCTTTGATAACCCAAAAGGCTTCCAAAATTAAATAATAAAATCCTGGGAGTTATACCTTTGCATCTCACTTGAATTTTTTACTCCTTATGCAAATAAGGCATACAATAAGTGAGTGTGTGTGTGTGTTTGTGTGAGAGAGAGAGAGAGAGAGATAGAGAAATATTTATAAATTCAGAAACAAAAAGATCCAATTCGGCCTATAATAAGAATCATTACCCAACAAATCCTAGAATTGAATTATCCCATTCGAATACCTATGAACCGTTCAGCCCCTTGTCAGAATACTAGCACTAATGTAACATGTTTTTTTTCTTCATATTTTCTCACTTGATGTTTAAATGAAAATTTTCCACCTTGCCTTTAAACTGATGGTGTTTCCATCTTAATCATCAAAAATCGTATTCCTATATCTAAAGATTTGGTGAACATATATAATATATTTTCTTGTGGGTACCTTCACCACGAGAATATACTTTGACTCAATCATGTTACTTATGAAGTGCAAACGAATGTCAATGTATTTTATCCTCTCACAATAAACTTTATTATTAGTCAAGTGAATGGAACTTTAACTATATCAATTTATCTTTACTAATTCCTTAGGGATGCATAACTCCCCAATGATACCTATTAGCCATATGGATTTCTTGATCCCTTCAACAAGGGCAATATAATCCATTTTATTAGTAGATAACACAACCATTGAATATTGATTTTTCTCCCAACATATAGTTGGATATATCATGTATACACAACTATCAATATTAATTTTTACAAAAGTGTGTCTTAAAAGAAATTAATCAATCCCACAATACCAATGCATTAAACTTTCTTTCAACCCATATAATGATTTCTTCAACAAACATAACTTATCATTATCTTATACAAAACCTTCAGGTTTTTACATGTAGTCTGTATCATCAAGGTTTCCATGTGAGAAAGTTGTTTTGGTGCCCATCTCTTCTAACGCAAGATTATATTGATTCACAATATCCATAAGTACACTTATAAAATAATGTTTTACCACATATGAAAATATTTTTTTATAATCAATCCCCTCCACAAGAGTGGAACTCTTTGCTCAATACTACGAAAACACCTTTAACCTGGCTTGGAGATGATGTGTTACCTCAGCTTCATATGCGAGGTAACGGAAGGCGTCATTAAAAGTGTGAAACTTTACCTCTCAGTTGAAATTCCACCAACAGGAAAGGTGTAATGGTCATTGGTTAGATCCACAGTGATAACTTTTTGTAATTTTTAAACTGCGAAAAATGCCTTCCACTCGATTTTGTCATTTAACATAGGAGAAACATACAGTTGAGTTTATTATATTTAATATAGGCTTCTTATTTCACCAAACCTTAACCGAATATATAACCTTTCAAATTGATTTAGAAAATAATTATATAAAAAGTTATGTTATATTTGAAGAACAACTCACACTAATAAATGATTTATAAAATTGTTAAACAGAGAAGGGAGGTCAACCTTTGAAAAGATTAGAAGTTGGATGCATACAAGGTATCCAACAAAATATGGAATAATGACGACGATGATGAAAATAGATATTTTGCAATCAATGTATTTTAATATTTTGAGTAAATAATGTAATATTTAAAAAAACTTATTTACCTCGGTTTTCTACTAAAACCGTGGGGTAAACATATTTTACCTCAATTTTTATCAAAATCGAGGGGGATAATTTAGCGTGATTATTAAGGATATTGATCATCATCCTTAAATAAATCTTTATCATCTATTTCATAAGTATCAACTCTCAAGACACTACCAATTGTGATTCCGTGAAACATAAAAAACTTTTATTATAAAAGTATTATGAATATAAAAAATTGATAATGACACATCACAAAATGCTTGAAATTATTTACATTCATCACTTTAAGGTTTGCAAGAGCATTTTTCATGAAAATATCTCTATGATGGAATGCAAGAGCATAAATTATTTAGATTTACGGTTTGTGTTTTGAATTATTTATTTGAGCATAAAATCATTTATTTATCTAACTCTTTTTTGTTTAATTCAGAAACAAGTGCAAACAAAAGTAATAGAAAATATTATGCACCCAACATATTTTCTTCTCCAAAATTCAATGATTCGAAGATCTAAAATCAGATCTTCAGGGAAATTAATTTTACTTTAATATTTTGTGTAAATAATGTAGTTTGTAAATAGATTAATTTATAATATTTTGTGTAAACAATGTAATGAGTTTTAAAAAAAACAATCTATCTTACCCCTCAGTTTATTGATAAACCGAGAGGTATGATGCACTAGATTTGAAAATTAAAAAAAAGAAGATGTTGGGGTTCGAACCCATGAGCAGATAATTTAACCACTCTATTTTTTATTAATGGAGAGGTAAAGTGGCAGCTTTTTATGACACCCTTCGTTACCTCGTTTCTTTAGCTGAGGTTAAATGCATTTCGTCTTCAAGGTTAAATGTGTTTTATATAATAGTGATAATACCTTATTTTCCATAAATAAATGCATCCTTGAAGTTCTCAAAGGACCTGGTGAATGAGCTTTATAGGAGTAGAACTTTGTCCTAATCAGCAAATTTCAACTCAATATTTTGCAAATAATTAATGATTTTATGAAGTTTTGCCAACTATACCACAATAATATTATTCTCAACTATAAATAAATCATAAAGTTATTATTTCACAAACAATCTATGAGCCAGGGAATTGGCCATATACAATGGTTCAAGCTTCACCCACACCTTATCATCGATCTTCTCCCTTGTGACTTCCCTTTTTATCTTCGAGAAAAATATAATGAAACTTTTGGTCTTATCCACCATCACAATAATCTCTTATCGTGTTAAACTTGTAGACATCGATGCATCTCACTTCAATGTTTCTACACACCTTTGTTGAGTTAATAATTATTGCATATTAACCTTCTATAACTCAAATTTATTGTTTTTGAAAATCCTTTTGACGTTTCAATTGGAACTCATGTGGATCACCTATAAACTTACCCTCTTTTATCCAGAGTGGGCGCCACTTTTTGTAAAATTGAAAGATTTAATCACACTAAGAACCTTAATGTGTAGGACTAAGCACAATGACATCCAACCAAATGGCTCAAGTTCAATAAAAATAGCAATGGTGAGAACACAAAGAAATTGTTTACAAAGTTTAATCAAATTGATCTACTTTAGGGGAGAGACAAGCCCTCTGATTAACTATAATTCATAATTGTTACAAGATATTTAAATATGAGTTACAAGAAAATAGTCTTCAAAGTTCCCAAAAACAAACCATATTTTCTACTTAAATGTTTTTTAATGTCTCCAACTCTTAATATTTGAATGACACAAACCATAATTAGTTAAAGTGTTTTCCAAACCCCTTTGATAATCTTAGAGCTTCAAATCTCGAAAAATAAAACACTAGAAAATTCTACACTTTATACAACTCTTACTTATAACAAATGAGAGAGAATCATATTTATAATTTGTAAAATTCTAAAGTCTAATTTATCACAAAACATGATCCATCATCAAACGAATCCTAGAACCAAACGGATCCAGCTCGATACCTAGAACCACATCGTCACTTGCCAAAAAACTTGTATTATTGAAACAAATTGTTTCTCCTATTTCTCACTTAAGGTTTTAAGGAGTATTACATTATATGCATCCATTAATTTGTACAAAAGCTTCGTCGACTAAATTTCCAACATAGATTTGTCCCTTTACTTTAATCTTTTAAAGACTCCAACCAACTAGTACATCAAATATAATACTCCGAATCAATACATAAAGGGCTAATAACGATAAAACAATCTCCTAAAAATCACCATCTAATTTGGAGGAAATCAATATGTTGACTTCATGATTAGAGTTATTCCACTTTTAATAAAGCCCTTCGAATTCACGACTCTTTCCCATTGCATTTGTTTTTACTTGTATCTTTTGTTAGTCTTATACAAATATATTCCAAAAAATAATAATTTTAAATGACTATATTATATATTCTATATTTATAGAATACTTCTAATGATAAAGAAAAAAGTGTAATTTTCCATACATCGTTTTTAATTTATTTTTAAAATGTTACATTTGATATTAAATAAATAATTATTTATTGCATACGATCTTATCTTCTCTAATTAAAATTATTATAAATTGTTTTTCCAAGTAAACAACGCGTACATACATGCATTTCATTTGTTTCTGGTTCCATTTCTCTAAATATTTATGAATTGAGAACTCATTATCATCTTTATAAAAAAACTCTCTCAAATCTCACTTTATTTTGTGCTTAATGACATCTACATAGTTTCTACAGCATTCAAATACAAACTTGTTTTAATTGTAAATTATTCTCCATCTTTCTCTTTTCTTCTCCTTATTTCTTGTTAACTCTCTAATCATTTATTTTTATCTTTGAATTTTTAATAACTATCTCAATACTCTTCATTTTCAGGATCAAACACTATGAGTAATCGACGAAGAAAGACAAACTTGTTGTTAGATCCGGACAACATTACATTTGAAGAGACTTCACTTGATGAAGGACCCTTCGAATCTATTCATATTCCCATAAATTATCTCGAGGAAATCGATAATGATGTTGTTGAATGTTCACCTCGAGCTTTTTCTCAGGTTTATATCGTTAAACTTTTTTTATTTTCTATATTATTATTATCATTGACGTGATTTGTTTTTAGACTAAAACATAAATTATTATCATTAAATTTATATTATTTTTATTAAATTTATCATTACTTGTTCTAAATGTTAATGGATCTATAAATCTATTTTTTTTGTTTGCTTTTATCTTTCTTTGTTATAGGTTTTGGCTCATACACGGAGAACTCGTAGAAGGGTTGCAATTGACTTGAATCTGGGTAAAAAAAATTACGTTTAAAAGTGAACAATTACATTTGTGGTTCAATTTTTTTATTAAAGTTTTTATATGTGGATTATCATTTTATTTGTTTTTTTAAAGTAGAAACGATAAGTTTTTTATATTCGGGACATTATGAAATGTTTATCCACTCATCATTTCCTGTATCTATACTTATTTAGTCGATTAATTACCACATTATAGGAACAAATAAGAATATTTTTTCATCATTATGGTATTTGGAAGTTGTAGTTGCCAACGACACCCCTAAGACAGATACATAGATCCAGGCCTAACTTAGCATACCCACTCTTAAATGGGAGTAGTAACCATAATTTCATAAAGGAGTTAGTGGATAATAGATCGGGCCTTACTCACAATCTAATTCACCCTCTTCGGGTTAAGGCGGGGAGTGGACCAGAATTATTGTGTTTAAAGATATAATTTAGTATTTCAATTTAATTACAATGTCATATATTTTATGAGTATTTTCATGTTTTGAGCATATAGGCGGCTTATGTAGTATATGGAACCCATTGGCTCAAACAATTGGGGCTCATTCTTATGGATTACTACTCAATCACTATAAAGTTTTTCTATAACAACAACTGTACAAAACTCACTAGAGACACCTCCATTTTTCCTATCCCTCTGAACTTTCACCAACTACATAAGTTCATTTGTCATGAATTTGAGACCCAAATTTTCTCTCTTAAGGCCTTTTCCCTAAATCTCACTTCACCCAAGTTACCTCCCAACAACCCAACTCAACCCTAAGTTACCCAGATTTTCCAAAACTTTACTGACCTCTTCCATGAGCCAAACAACCTTCCTCATCCACAACCTACCGACCATAAAATCCCGCTCCTCCCAAATTCTTATCCCAAAAATATCTACCAATATTACTATCCATACTCCCCAAAATAAGAAATTACAAACCAAGTCACCAAATGCTTCAAATAGGTGGATTCAACCAAGGATAAGCCCCCATGTATCCCCTGTTTTATTGTTCAAAACTAAATACGAGTTTTTGAGGATGTGTTTCCATTATCACTCAATTAATGTTCTCACCGTGCCATATGGCTTCCCTTTACCCATCATAGATGAATTGTTGGATGAATAGCCGTGCACGAGTTTTCTTTATGGCAGGTCTTACATATGGGTTTCACAAAATTTGTTTGGATCCTAATGACACTAAGAAGATTACCTTGTGTACTCATCTCAGTTACTATGAATATAAAGTGATGCCATTCGGCGTTTGTAGCTCTTTAAAAACAATTTAAGCAACACTAAATGACATTTTTCGATCCCAACTATGTCGTACTATCAACGTGTTCTTTGATGTAGCATTGTGTTTCCAATTCTTATTGGCCTGTACTTTCTTGCATCCTTTGATCTTTAGCTTCATTAGACTATCTTGTTGAGGATATCCACGCAGTTCGTAACAACAAGGTCGTATATATTCAAATTTACCACAATGGTGACATTTCAGAGAAAGTTTCTTTTTGCTACTATGAAAAAGTGACACATGTTGTACACAATGCTATGATATGTGGCCCAAATTCAGAATTTCATCATTATTTTTAGGTAGAACAACCTTCTCAGAGGGGATCTTCATCTCTTTCGTGCTCATCACTAAACTTATTTTCTTCACATCTCTGGACATCTCTCTAGACTCCATCATCCCATCAAGTACATTTAAAATATTTTTCAAATTACTTTTAAATTGTATCATGTTTTCTAGTTTGGAGTTTAGTGAAGAAACCTCTTTTTCTACACTTGTGATAATTGATGCAAGCTTCTCTATTTCCTTCTGAAGAACACCTATGGTTTTTTTTCTTCTGGTTGTCTATTTTTAAGCACACTTTTTCCCACTTGGTGTGCAGTAGCCTGAATGATGTATCAAGCTCTTCTTCAGTAAAGTCTTCATAATTGAACTCACCTTCAAACTAAAATCAACCAGAATAAACCATCATGTTGTTGGAGGTTTTTCCCTCACTTTTTCAATATCAAAAATAGACCAAGTGATGAATAATCTTTTTTTCTGTCTCTTTAGAATGGTAAGTTATTTTGCTTTAATGTGTCCAAAGTCTTCACATTCAAAGCACGGAGTACCCTTGCAATCATTCAGTTTGTCTTCACTCTTGCCTTTTTTATAGAGACTAATGTTGGATCTCTTGTATTGGACATTCAACCTCTACTTTCTATCTAGATACCTTAAGGAATTGTTGAAAATTTTCCAAGAATAGTTATAGCATCTGGAAAGCTCTCTTATTTATCATCTTGAATTCTTACCTTCTTCCACAATTTTATCTGACATGTCATAACCTTTATTCAACATCCTTACATATTTTCCATGTCCTCTATCTTGGATGTCAAAACATAATTTTCCTCTACAAGACCTGTGACTGTAATAGCAAGTTTTTCTCTCTTTTTATGAAGAACAATTATAGTTTTCTTCTATTTTTTTTATTTCTACGCATGTTTCTTCCCACTTGGTGATCAATAGCCTATATATCTTAGGTATCTCTTCATCAGTTAAGTCATCATCACTATACTCACCCTTAGCAATACATTACCAGTGTAAGGCATCATGTTATTAGAGGTTTCTTAATTCATTCCCAGATTCTCAAACCTTGTTGATAGGAGTTGTATTCTTGACTTGTGATATTTGGATGTTCCTTCATGTGCAATCTTGAGAATCTTCCATGTTTCTTTAGCTTCTGAAGATGTTTTGATCAACCCGAGCATGTTCTTGTCCACCCCATTAAGTATAGCATTCAGAGCCTTTGAGTATCTAAGGGCTTCATCATTTTCAACTTTAGTCCAATAAGCCTATGGTTTCAGGCTAGTAGTGTTATCTTCATAGTTAACCACTGGATATTTCCATCCTCTTATCACAACTTTCCATGTTTTGTTTCTAAAGCATTTGAGAAAAGAAATCATCATAGCCTTCCAATATTCTTAATCTCTACAACCAAAATAGGTGGTCTATTGACTGATATTCCATCCTTGATGTTCTCCACATGAATAAAATTTATCTTCCTGGAGCTCATCCAATAGCTAGGGTGTCTTCTCTGATGCCAATTGAAATTTTGTTCCTCATGGGACAAATGTCCAACGCGATTTCCTAGGAACTGGTTCGACAAGTTAAACCAGAATCACCATAACTTGTACAAGATGATGGAATAGAAAACTGATAAATAACACAACCAATTGGTAACTCAGTTTGATTCAACCTGCACCTACACCCAGAGGTTGGCTTCTAAACCAAGAAGAGAAATTCACTATTAGTAGTTTAGTATATTTAATCTTATAAGCAACACCAAACTATATGTTATTCAATGCCTCTTTCTAAAACTACCTAATGACTTTCTATTTAGGTTCCCCTGAATATGAGACACCCTCTCACTTTATTTTTCTCTAAAACACTACCTCCTAAGTGTTTGAGTTACAATCACTAACCCCTATTGATCAAATTTAATCAAAACTATGAGTGATGTTGAATCTTACAACTCAACTAGACACCTTTAACTCTGCAAGTTACTGATGCATAGTGTGGTGTACATGAAACAATAACAAGGACTCTAAATAAACTTTATCACTCTAAATATCTTCAACGTATTTCTTTCTTTCCAATGAGGGTTTTGAGCTACTTATATAACATAATTATTCTGGACTTTTCTTCATGGATATTTGATATGATTTCATCCAGAAATAATGCAAAATCTGTTGGATATTATTTGTTCCATAAATCTCTCTAACAAGATATGATTTGTTTTAATTAATTTAAATCTGAATTCTTCTTCTTCCAACTGTCAAACAAATCACCTAATCATATTGCTAAACCAACATCAATAAAATCTGATTTAATCATTGACCAGAAAGTTTTCTAAAATGCAACAATAATGACTTATTGCGCAAGGCTTAATGTAATTCCAACATGTTGGGACATTACGTCCAACATGTGTCCCTTCTGCACCTCCATAAAATCTTGAACAAACTAGATTAATCTTAATCACTTTGAACACTTTTTTGTATTGTGATTTGGCAAAATATAATCAATCCAAAGAGTCCATCCCCACAGAACTACAATATAAAAAAGCATGAATACAATCTCGAGAAAACATCTTTACATATTACTAGTAATATAGAAATTCTCAAACACGATTCTCATCCACCATTGTAATCGATACTCAAATTTTTTTGAAGAATTAATATAATTTAGGTTGTCCTCATTCAAGGTCGGTTTTGTGCAAGCAAGGGCAACAAGACTTGTACAAAGCCTAAAATATTTGTAGGCCTCGTTTGAAAATATATTTGGAAAAATCAATTTTAAAAGTATGTTTAAATAGATATACTAATGAATATATAAAGATTGTTTTGACTTTCATATTATAGTTTGACTTTCATATTATAGTTTGACTTTCATATGAAGATTGTTTTAACTATCATATCATAATTTTTATATAAAATTTTATGGACTGGGCCTGCCCTTGGCCCAACTCCAAACGAGGCTCAACCCAATTATGTCGGTCAAGGAAAACTGGCCAGTTCTGCCCTCAACTTCGTCAGACAACAACTACCACTCCCCGTAAGGAGGCAACCTCACTACACGAGGATAAACCCAGTCAGTCCTAGGAAGATCATCGCCGATCAGGAGGACCTCGAGGCCACCCTACGATCCTCTCCCCGACCAAGAATAGTCCCCTCACACGACCTCGCATCTCCTCGTAAGGCTGACTAACAACGTCTCCAAATATTGCGGAGTCTTTAGGGCCTCGGAAAGACCGCATCCATATCCTCCTAATCTTGCGGAGGAAGTCATCCAGGTTGAAGACCATGTGCGGGTCCCGACTACTCACGTAGGACCTAGAAGTCTCCACTTTGGGCCTGCTTGACCAGCCCAATGAGGAGACATTGGCTTGCTATAAATACCCTCTCTTTCGAGAGGGTCAGGTATTGAACATCTCTTACTCTCTTGCTTGCTTGCTCATTCCG